GTCGGTTTTGTATCTGAAAGGCCTGATAAATGTTTAGAGCCATTTCAGTGTGGCTGTGAGTGTTTTGCTAAAGACAAAGTCTAATAACTACATTTTTTGTCCATCTAAGCGCAGGCATAACATTGTGAAGGACTGGTGGAGACAGACCCCACCAATAATTTGTGCTTTTTTTCCCGCCTTTCTACTCTTTGTTCCGCAGAGTGTTTTAATTCTGTGTTTTTTTCCTCTCTCATGCTGCTCCTGTGTCCCGCCTCACAGTGTAACATCATCAAATCGGTCGCTTTGAGACAATTCATTCTGCGATCGCATTTCACTAACGTACAAAGTAGCTACGTGGTTGGAAGAGGGACACACAGCAGCACTCGCTGAATATTCACCAACAGCTACTTTCATGTTTAAGTAAAAGTTTAAAAAAAAATTAGAGATGCCTCCGACAAAATCCATTTGTTAGACACACAGAGCTTTTTCTGCAAAAGATTGTAAGTTTATACAAGTTAGTATTAAAATGCAAGAAGCTTGAGAAAATATAGTTTAAATTTTGTGTTCTTCTTTACTATAAAAGCTGGGATTCTCAGAAGACCATGACTCCCAGTTACAGCCTATAATTAACACTTTTTCCTTTTTTTACAGACAGAATCAGACTGCAGAGCTTCTACGTATCTTGAAATTCAGTTTCTGGCATCATTATATTAGTAAAGAGCAGGACTAGGTATTTTCGCCAAAGTCCTGAATCGATTCGATTTTGATTAATGCAGTTCTAAATGGATTTATTTCGATTCGTTCTGTTTTTACAATAATGAAGGTGGTTCAACAGTGTTTCAAAATACTCATGTATTTTATTTTTTCCTGTCATATAAAACACAAAGTGCAAACTTGTAAATCAGACGGTTTAAACTTGAGATGTGAACAAAACTGTCTCATAAGTGCAAACTTGTTTGTGAAAAGTGAAAAAGTGAAGCTTCACTCATTCAGACATTCCTGAGCTGCATTATCTCCACTGCACAAACCATATTTGCAGCGTTGTCTGTAACAACTACAGGTTTTTGCCGGTCAGCCCCCATTTGTTAATGTCTTCAGTCAACCTTTTGGCTATATTTGAAGCTCTCTAGCTTGAAGTGATCTTGAGTGCATCTTTCCTGCTCATTTGAATGTGAACGTCATGTACTAATCAATCTCATTTCTTAGACATCGACTTTGCAAAAATGTAAAGGAATCGATTCAAAATCGATTAAATCAATTTTTTTACCCAGCCGTAGTAAAGAAATCTTTTTAAATAGCACAGAGGGAAGTAGGGAGAGCTGCAGATTTAAAGGTGAAACAGATTAACTAGGATACGCAACACCTAATAAAGTATATTGCCAAGTTTACCAGAAATTTTTTTTGCTATGCTTAATTTAAAATGCTCTCTAACTATCTATAAATTTAAATAGCAGTGTGTTATGGTTCTCTTGTGATCTCAACAATAGGAACGCATTCAATAAATATATGTTTGAGCTCATTTTTGGAAAATACAAACACCTAATATAAGCGTTTAGGTCAAGTAACTGTAGGTTAATCAGCGCCCCCAGAGTGTCCACACCAACTATCATCACAAAATTACACCCTTTGCATCTAAGAAACATTTTTGGTTCTTTCCCACAAAGCCTTTCAGACGCCTCATCAGGAAAAATCTGTTCTTGTCCTGGAGTCAGAAACGTAAAATCAGCAGTAGCTGTGAAACATCCCAGTGTTCAATAACTGGGAAGACAATGACGACGTGCTAATTTAATGCCGCATGTTGTTGTAGTTCCTGCTGGGCCACCACTTCTGAACCTTTAGCAGTGGGCGAGAAGGAAAAGTCTAAAACTCCTTTGATCCATGAAGGCAGAATATGACTTTCATGGGTTCAAACCAGGGTGACAACAACTCCACATCATTATTCCCACATTAATACCCATGAGGAGGGTTTGTCAGGATGTCTGCAACAACATCTACCAAATAAGATGTGAATTTAATCATCATCATCGTCATCAAATGGGTCCTGCGCTCTACTTTTCAAAGCTCATCTCCTGTCAAGCGTTTTCGATGTTGACAATTTGCTTCCTGAAGAGAGCTTCCGACAACACAGGCAGGCGGTGGGAGAGATTTTTCTCCCCAAACTGTCGGCGTCTGAGTGAAGTTTTCAGGTTGCAGTAATGAATTAAGCTCTTACAGAAAACCTCTTGCATGAACAGAGGATCTGTCAGGAAGTGAGACAAAATGCTTGGTTCATTTAGACACACTGATACAAGCCGGATAATGATCAATTTTGTAATAGAAGGAGCAACACTGAGTTCATACCTCGGGAATGTAATAGTCTACAGGGAACTAAATCTGCTTTTTCTGTTTTTGTTTAGCTGCATATCTAAACTTGGTATTGTTAGTTGCAATTATGCTAATAGCTAAAACAGGAAGACTTCTTTTTAAACCCAGTGTATAAGGTTCTGTTTTCAACAAAGCTTTTGATCTCAATGCTCCATATAGAACGGGAGGAGGCTTTATCCATCAGAAAAACTATACACTAATCTCCATACAGGAAAACGTACGGAAGAGGATTAGGGCCAATGGGAAAAAAAAAGAAAAAAGTTATCTGATTTTTAAATATTTTTTCAGTTTAATATGGGGAAAAAAGTCAGAATCTTGACTTTTTTCTCAGAATTCTGACTTTAATCTCAGAATCTTGGATCATAATCTTAAAGGGCACCCTGAAGGACGAGATGTGGGAACACTCGGCTTCTATAACAAAGATGTGAGTTGTTTGGGAGGGCCAGTAACACATTGGTGGAAAATGATGGAATTAGGCAACTTTTTATAAGTCCGAGGGGTCCCAGGTTAATCTATTTCATTAATGGAAGAGCAGAAGGCGATTAAAACAAGAGAACTAGTTTAGTCTAGTCTAGACATGGCTATGGCTTGATGCTAACATGTTTGTTAGCCGTCAAAAGTCTGACTTTTTTCCCATATTAAACTGAAATAATATTTAAAAGTCAGTTACCTTTTCTTTTTTATTCAGTGGCCCTAATCCTTCTCCATAAAAACGCAATAAAGATAACACAATTAAAGAATTTGAATTATCTTCAGAGATGCAACAAGATTTTCATGTTTATCAGACAGTTGATCAATAGAAACACTGATGGCAAAATCCAATCCTTTTGCTACCAGTGAATGCATCACTGACTAGGCTTCTGAATAAAAATATTTTTTTAATACAGAAGTTATGGAAAAATGGTAAAGAAAGTTCAAAAATCTGCCATTTTGAAGTGAATTCAGGAAGCAGTTTTTCACCTCTATGCCAAGACATACATTCTGCATTTAATCTGCAAAAAGGAGAGAGAGAGCAAACCTTTCAGCAGATGTGTGATGTATAAGATCAGTGATTCCAGACCTTTCTTGACTTGTGTTCCACTTTGGGCATTTTGTCTTACCATGAATTCCCCTCTTAGTCAAAGTATTGATGATTGTTTAAAAAATTAAAACATACAATAACTAATTATGAAATAAAAATTATTTGACTGAATCTTTCAATTTCAGCATTTGATTCTTAGGCATTTTATGTTTTCCATCTCAAATAAAAACAATGTAAATACATTGCCTGGAAGTTAGTAAGGAATCTAAATAAATACAAAATAAAATCATATTATAATCCAGTATTTATAAAATAGGAGCTTGTCTGAGTAACTCCCTTATAGTCAGATTTAACCCTTTAAAGCCTGATCCTAGAATAAAACTAAACAGAAAATTACTTTTTTTGGGTTTGAAGTCCTTATTTCCCTTTTAACAAAATATGTAAAAAGAAAAAACAGAAATACATTTTTGATATTAATAATTTATTACTATATGATAAGTCAAGATTATTTTTTGTGTAGTCTTCTACTGGCTGTTATCAGGTATATCTGATTGTGTACAATAGGATCTTGAGCAAAGTTTTTACCATTAAATTATGCAAAAGGTGTCAGACGCAAAACATTTCAGAAACCGTATGTATCAAATATGATACATTTGGCATTAAAGGGTTAACTTGATGAATCGGGACCAAAATACAGAACCAAAATTATAGTCAGACGGACTTAATTAGAATTAGTTTGTTTTTATCAAAACATTGAGCTCCGATAGCTTAGTGTGAAAGACAGCTGATCCCAGGCTGTTCTCTACATCCAGGCTGTTCCTCTGCTTGGTTTGGATGTGTGTCACAGCTGAAGGTTGAACTCAAACCTATAGAATAAAATGCCCAATATTGAAGCGTGGTCTGCACTATTATCACTATTTATTGTGTAGGACTGGAGACGGAAATTGAAATTTAACTAAAACTTTAAGGTGCCTGCAAAAGTAAAGAATGAATTGAAAATATACTTCAATTCGTTTCATTTTAGAGGAATCTTATAATTATTGTTCTACCTCAGATATTCGTCTTGTTTTTTAATTAAAGTTTCTCATTAAGCCATGGCATTTCTAACCATCAGTGCTACAGTATTTCTTTTAAAGAACATAACCCTCCCCTTCCGCACCCGTTACATTGGACATTTTTGTCAGTAGATTATTAAAAGACTCTCTGATCAGTTTCTCCACTCCAAAGTAAACATTTTGTTCCTTTTTCAAAATGTTAAAACATCTTGAGCAGTCATGCAAACTGCTGCAACCCAAAAGTACATAAAAATGTTAAAATTATTTCACTTCTTTTTCCCTCAGAGAAAAAAAATAACAGAAGTTAAGGGGGGATTAAAATTTAAATATTTACTTTCCACATTTTCATTCAGCGGTTCAACGTGTTCCTCTCTCCCTGCACTGTGTGCACAATTCAGATGGTGAAACCTCCACGTGTTTAGTGAGCTGTCCATTAAACAACGGCCGGCTGTTGAACTAGTTTTAATGCTTGATTCTCAAGGTTTAGCTGTGGTAACAAGAGTTGTTTTTTTCCTTCTCCTTTTTTAAAAACATTGTCAAAATGTGAGCAATTATCCACAACCGATTCGAGGACAGTGAAGGTGGAGAGATCGAACCAAATAGAGGCAGACACTTACTGAAATAAGCAACAACAGTCCTAGCAATGCCTGAATAAAGTGGATTTGCCTCTCAGGGTCCTCCAAGCAAAGTCAATTAAATGTTCTGCCAATATGTGCTTCTCTAAGTGATGCAATGAGATTAAAGAGTGAAGCTCAGGTATTCAGCGAGCACCGATTCTTATATGGTGAAGCATGCGCTAATGAAAACAACAGGGAGAAAAGCTCTCTGCTAATGACCCCTGGTTTGGAAAAATAAGTCAGTTATGTTAATGAGGCCGCAGATTTCATTGACTCAGTGTCACCATGTTTATTTCTACAGGCAGTACTTAAAAAGAAAACACCTTACAAGATTATGCTACATTCAATTAGAGGAACTACCTTTTCATTACTTGATTTTCATCAAACATTTAAGACATTTTACATGGATCTGTTTCTCTCTCAATGACACATTATAACCTCTTTATCTATCCTACAACACACTAAACATTTACCCCTTCAAGTACACTCAAATTCCTTCCTTCTTACCTTATCTATGACTGCTCTTATAATCATGTCATGCCATAAGCCATGATATTAATTTTGGGCATTGGTGGCCCAATATCCATGCAGGCTTTCTTTGCAAACTCTACAGGCTGCAGCCCCTCAGCAGGACACTGCAAAGGAGAAGATTCTACACGCAGAGGGAGAAGTTAAGGGCTGGTTATCCTCCCACAGCAGTGTGTCGCAGTGAGCTTGTCGCAGATAGTTTTGATTTATGCCCAATATTGAAGCGTGGTCTGCGCTATGCTATTCTACATCACAATGCAAGAGGGACAATCAGGAACTAGTAGTGGGTCAAGATATGGCTGAGGCGGTGAGGAAGTAGGGGTACGTTTGTGCGACAACGGAGGGACATGAGGGCGAAAAAGAGCGGGGATCCAGGTGGAAAAAGGGTCCCAGTGTTCTTACGCACCTTGCTCTTCTAGCTGGTCCATGTTCACGAGTAGTCTTTCACAATGGCGGTCATACAAACAAAACAAGCTAGTAAGGTACCAAACAGGAAATATGCATAGAGGAGAGCAGATGTAGATTTGACCAATCAGAGGCCTCCTGTCTGTGGTCACCAATTTTGGAGAGGTGCGGCAGAGTGTCTGCGGAAGGGGCGGGGACATATCTGCGTTCACTGAGACACACACGCAGACGACCTGGTTTCTGGGTATAAAGCAGCCTTTAGGCCCCCCTGCTGAGCTTGCCTTTAAAAACTCCCACACTCATTCTCTTTTCCTGTGGACCCGTACCAGGCCACATTGGGGGTAAACAGTTGTATGAGCACTGCATGTTTTAATAGAGTTCAATCTTTAACCCCTGCTGTAGTTAAAGGTATAGTGGAGGATGTTCTTTTTCAGGGTGGATCATCTAAATAAGTGGTCCTCCTAATTGTCTATCATTCTGGTCATGTGTTTATGTAAAGCTGTCCTACGTGCTCGTCCCCATTTTCACTCTGGTGGTTAGTCTGACATAGTGGAAAAATTGCAAATCTTTTTTTGGAAAGTAAGCTTGTATGAGCGATGCAAACAGCAACTTTTAAATAGAGCGTGTGTCTGTTCGCAAAACAGTTTTGGTGGTATGCGTCTGCAACGTCGGCCTGGACTTTCTAGGGACGCACAGCAGTTTCCCACCATAACGCTAGGGGGAGCCTATTAGAGAACTCGCGAGAACTTCTCTAATATGGCGGATTACGAAAACTTCTTCGGCAGCGCTGGCGGGAGTGTTATTTTCCAAAACAACATGTCTGAGGCATAGTACAAGTGGTTATACTTCCGAACCTTCTCGATCAACCTTTCATCGTGGTTATCCATTGTTGTTATTACTCCTTTGTTTTTAAAAATGGCGCACCGGCAGCAAATCGAGAAGGACGACCACACAGATAGCCGGAAAGGCATACCAAGGACCAATAACAGCTGCTTTTTGTCTGCACACTTCTGCAACCTTTGCGCGGGGGGGGGCGCAGTTGTGCACAGAGACAGATTTGATGGTTGCAAAGGCTGTGCGTCAGAAAAATAAATTGGCCTAAAAGCTACATGCTGCTAGCCAAGGCTTCTTGCTAAACCAGATCCTGGAAAAGAAAATTTCTTGCACCATTTCTCTCTCCTCTCTCTTTCCAATGCTTGCCCAACCCCCGTGACTGGACCTGTCAATCACCCGCGTAACGTCTGCACTGTGGCGGGAGATGGTGAGCAAATACACTTCCTGTCTCCTCAGGTCGCAGTCTAGCTGCGCCCAGAGCTCTCCTATACATTTGTATTGCAGAGGAGCTACTGTGCATGTACAACTTTTAACGACAGTCAATGGGCAAAGATTTTTGCGCTGTAGGGCGGAAATACGTCACCAATCCGACGAATATGGGAATGATGCTTCACTAGTCATTAAAGATTAAATTTAATTAAATTAAATTTATCTTACACATCTAAAAATATAGAGATATATTTCAAAATATTTTAGATTTTATTTTAAAGTTAAATTATAAAAAGAAATTATAATTTTTTTAATGTCTTAATAATTGTCATTGGGTGTGGGGCGGTGCCCTGGCGCCCTCTTGGCCAGCCGCCACTGGTTTAAAGACTATTAAGAAATAAAAGTTAGTGTTTTTCATTATATGATCGTTACATTTCATTGCCAAAATAGTTTAATCGATTTGCAAAATAATTGTTAGATGCAACCCTAAATGACTTTTACTGCACATTTGTTCTGAGGTTTTTTATGACGTAAAGCCCTTTTATTTGTCTTGCCTCTGAAATGTGCTTGCAAATAAAATTTACTTGCTAGGATTTCAATATACATAAAATCTTCTATTTTATAGCAAGCAGTGGAAAAAGTGATTCTGACTCCAAAAAGTAAGAGACCGCTGCTCTAAAACCTTTAAGTGTTTACACTGTTCAGTGTCTGGAGAACCTTAGTGAACCAGTGGTTCGACTGTAAGAGATTCATTACCATAAATAGTGTTTAAATAAAAAACAAGCAAAGGGGAATGTCAGAAAATAGAATCTGATAACAAGATTGTTATCGCCATCACACGTTCACAGTCAGCCTCATTCATCACTTCAAAGCTCACTTCTGCTAGTGAGCCCAATTACATCATTCCTCACATTACAGCAGATGTAACCTCATCTGGGAGCAGGAAAAACGACTCAAAACTGATTCTAACTGGGGTGTAAAGCTGACAGACAAAGCAGGGGTCCTACTTTTTACACTGATGAAGCAGCATTACATTGTTTACCTTTCCTTTTGAAGGCTGGACTGACGAGCAGCAGAGCTGTGTTGACTTCTGGCTCAGAGGAGCCTCCATGGCTGCCGGTCTCAGACATGCCGTGGTCTCCGCACAGCACCAGCAGGTAGGGCAGAGACCCCTCTGCCTCCTAAGAGAACCAAACACAAGGGTCAATGACCTCCTTCTACAGGTGTGAACCACTGATTTCTATTTATTCACTGGATTGCTGGTTGGCCGAAAAAAGTGAAGCCACCATCTACCATGCTGGTACTCCCCACTCACACGGAGACACACAGTTAAAATGCCTATGTGGAGCATTTGGCTGCAAAAACAAGCAGTTTGCCGGCTGTGGGAAGACGTTCCACGGGTAATTTCACAGTCGGTGGATGTACTAACCAAGAAAATCCACATATATAACAATGTGTCCTATAGTATAGTGCAGAGGTCACAGATTAGCAGACTGGATCTGGACCCAACTGCTGGCTAATCCGGACCGAGCCTGATTTAAAACATTTATAAATTACTGTACGTTGTCCGACTACAGTGTCTAATTTAATTTGCGCCGCTTCTCCTGTTAATACGGTAAAGCCCTCCACAATGCCGGGACCAGGCTGCACGTGATGCTGATCAGCCAATGAGCTGCTGTCAGTCTGGGTTGCTGCTGCTGCTACTTTTATTTTCAAAGTAACGGATTATAATTAAAAATGTCTCTGGACCTTTACTGGTTGTTGAGTTTCTTTATTGGGACCACTCTGATTTTTAATTGGTCTAAGGGTCTAAGGTAAGAAAATAGAAATCAAAGTAAATGTTGACATATCCAAGTAGTAATTGATTAAGTGGATGATGCTGTCATTTTTGTAGTGTTTGTTGCATTTCTCATTTTGAAAAAGTCAACTCAAATGTACATGTACATCATTAATTTAGCACATATATCTTATGCTCCTTTAAAACATTCATTTTAATGTGATTAATTTGTATTTTATGTTATATTAGATGATTTATAGACTTGATTGACTTCCTAATGACTATGCAATGTGATGTTCCTATTTTTAAATTATAAATTAAAGTAATCTATGCTATGAAACACCCAGTGTGTGTCAAAGTGATGAATTTATCTTTATTTAAAAGTCTTAAGTCCCCCTGAAAATGATAACATCATCGTTGTTCGATGCTGTAGCGCACATATTGTTTACATTGCGGCCGGTCTAATAAGGGAGTACCAATATGGCGGCCGTTGGTTTCACTTCAACCCCGTACTATCAATCAGCAATCCAGTGAATAAATAGAGATCGATGGTTTGAAAACAGGAAGATGTCAGCTGTTGAAGTTTAATATTCAGAACGGGCTCCTACATTCTGTGTCAGATCAAATCAGTTTAGAAACATTAAGATGTTGTTATGGCAGCAGCACCGAACGGCTGCCAGAAAAGGAAGACATTAAATCATTACTTCCGAAAAACAAAGTCATGACAAAACAATTCAGGCCATTTTTCTTTCTATCACGTTTCCAGCCTTGGTAGACAAAAAATAGAAATAACAGCAAATGCAGCAAACAAACCCAAAGGGTGACTGATTTGTCGGGGATGACAGACTTTGATCAGACGCGGGTTCTTCCTTAAGCGATTCCCTTTAAACTGGAGTCAGAGGAACCCTCAGTTGACTATTAATTCAACAGGGAGGCTTTATGAGTCATAGCTCAGTGGCCTGGTATAAAAACACTGCTTGAGATGTTAGAAAAACAAAAGCCAAATCCTTAACAAATCAACCCCTCTCCAAAGACTGCTTAGTTTCAGCGCTGTCTGGTACAAACAGCCAAAAATCGAAAACCGTTTACTAACAGTTACCGAAGACAGGAGAGTTTTATCTGAAGTACGACGACTGCATTTAGTAATAAAGGCTCATGTCAGCTTATCTTTATTCTACTGTTTAAAGTTAATTCATACGTTTTTGCATTAGGAAGCTGTGTTTTACTGCCCTGATGGCTCATTTTAACTGAAACCCATAGAAAAATAGAGAAAAGCAAGTGGCTGTGGTGGTTATACCTGCTGGAAGCTTGTTAGAAATGTCACAGGGCTCATGGGAGCTGAGAAAACACCTCAAGAAAAGTACTAAACCCCACTGAGCCTGACCTGGTGTTTCTCTGCAGCTTACAGGAGAGATTCACTTGTTTTCGTTACAATAAAATCCTGAAGCCTCTTTGGAAGTTTTTTTTTTTTTTTTTTTTACACATTGTGTGTAACTTTTTTCTCACATCTAAGAGCAAAGCAGGAAGAAAATGTGTTTAAAGCAGTTTCAGTGACCGTTTTGCTCATTTAAGGCAGCGTATCAGCCTGATTTTAGTGTAATTTTTAAAACTTTCAGGGTAACCGGCATTTGTAAAATGGGGAGCCTGTGTGTTAGTGAAAGGGCCAAAACACTCATTCAAAATTAGTGTAGCAGCCTGAGTTTCCGAGTAGCGACCAGCTGTACTTATCTGAACACTTTAAACAGTAGAACAAAGGTACGGACTAAATACTGCAATAAAAAATTGGAATTACATCAGTTGTGAGCAGTAAACTTAATCAGCGCAAATGTTTCTCTGGAAGGAACCTGGGGAACCAGGGCTCAGTCCATGGACTTGTTCTGTTCACCTTCTACATTAGTTTCATATCTTCATTCCTGTTAATCTCATCTTTACGCTGATGACGCATAAAGATTAGATTAATTCCCCCCTTCTTTATAAAATCCAATACCTCCTGAAGGCTCTGACATCACATACTAGAAAAAACGATCTAGAAATAAGTAAATATTTTTCAAATTAAGTGCATTTACCCTTAATTTGAATAGGTAAATGAGTATTTTTACTTTTAAAATAAGATATTTAGATAAAATGCACTTGATATAAGACCATACAATTTAGTTTTCTTATTTTATGTGTAAATTGTCTATTTCCATTGGCAAAGTGTCTCTTTTACCCTCTCAATTCAAGAACAAATGCACTTATTTTAAGGAAAATTACTTATCTACCGGTAGATTTTTATTTTTTCCCGGTGCAGAGACTTCACCAATATCTTTTGACCAGGATGTAACAACTCTTCAAACCACACTTAAAAAAAAAAGTATTTTTTATATTAAACTAAACTATAAATAATTTTATCCAAGTCAGCCAGGGGAAATGAAGAGTGTTTACAGGGCTTCATTTGAAGTTGACGCTGTCGTGAAAATGTGTGAAGAATGAACCAAGTAAAGCCTTTCCTGTTGGTTCTTAGACCTCTGTAAACTAACTTCTCACACCGTGTGGGTGTCTGTGTCATTCTTTTAGGGCTCAACTAATGATTATTTTGGTAATCGATTAATTTGTCGTTTTAATCCATTAATAATCGGGTAGCCAAAGTTTTTTTTTTTTTTTTTTTTTATTAAACCAAGTGAAAATAAAACTTTTCCAGTTGAGGAGTTCTGGATAGAACATATTGACAGATGAAAATCTTTTTTTCTTTTTATCTTCAATGCAAAATGTTTATTTATTTATTAATATTTTTACAATCTTGATATAATTACTGCTCTAAGTGAGTTGCACTGTCAGCTAAAGGCATGTTTTAGTCTCTATTCTCCAGTTAGCGATTCATCCATTTCTAAATTATTTGAGAGTTATTTTAATTAATCAGAGTTAATCCGATTGTTTTAGCCCTACATTACTTAACATTCAGCCCTACTTTAAGTATCGAGTCTTTATTATTTAGTGCCAATATTGGACATTATATCCATCAATGTTACTCCGTATCTCTCTATTTTGTTCACCTAATTCTGGGACTTATCAATGAAGATCATTACTTTTCTTCTGACAAAAAGGAATATCTGCTTCCACTAAACTGACTCCAAACGGAGATAAAATAAAAATATTAATAAATCAAACAATATAAATAATACTCAAAAAGATAAAATGACAAAATACGCCTAACATTATGTTTAATTGAATATTACTGATTTATAGTTTTAATTTAAGTCTGAAGGAAATATCAGTCACTTTACTGTGCTAATAGGTATAGCAACACCAACCGGTCTGTGTCTGAAGGGGCTGAACTCTAATATGGTTTGCTTTTAATAATATAAACCATCTTTGAACAGAGGTTTAATCATCCCACATCTCGTGCATTTCCCAGTTTAATCAAATTCAGATTTTGATTATTTTCTGGGGGTTTTTCCCCCCAAACTTAATTCACCAAACATCATATTCAACCCCAAAAACTACAGTCTAAGGAAGAACAGATTAAGGCTCTGAGCTCTAGATTAAAACAAACGTGAGGCCCTGGTGACCAGGAGGTCCTTCGCTCCAATCTAGCTGTAACAGAACACTCTGCCCCCTTTTATGCTCAGAAAAAGACAACTGGTGCCACATTACAGATGGAGCGGGGAGGGCTGTCATCTGAATCCTAAACTGTATTTCTTTTCTGCGGCTGGAGCCGTCGATCCTACAGGATATAGCGGCAGGCTACACCCACAGCATCTGCAGCAGAAACACTCCCATATGATGAGATCACACCTCCCAACACGTTCACAGCGAGAAGGAATCAGAGAAAAACGCTGTTGTCTTTGTAGAAGCCTCGAAGATGCTTCTACCCGCAGGACTCCACAGTGGAGGGTTTATATTTAGGTCACAACTTTATTGTGAATGAAAATCAGATTTCAGCGACACAAAATCACTGAAAATCTAATGTGTTTACCTTTCCAAGAGCTTAGAAAAGGACGACTTAATCAACAACTTTTGGGATGTTAACCGCTGGATTAGCAAATCTAAAATAAACCCAGACATTTTTTTCTTTTTGTGCTCTTTCTACTTTTTAGAGGGAACACAGATTGAAGCGAAAGAGTTGGGAAATTGCGGCTCTTTGCAGACATGACTTGACAATATAAGTAGCATCTATATATCTGAATGACAATGAGACAATGCCCATTAGGAGGACACACACAGCGGAAAGTCAATATGCATGTACTGCAGTCAGACGCTGCAGGGAAACACTGATCAAAGATAACAGCAAAGCTTAACAGTTTATTAAATCTCTGCGGCTGATGCAACGGATAACATAACAGCTGCTGACAGCGCTACAAATGGTCTCCTTAATTAAACGGACAGAAACTAATCAGGCTAAATATTCCCTGATTGGATCAGTTATTTATTGCCCGTTGATTGTCATTTTATATTTGCGTATTTCAAGGCATTACCAGGCTGTGATGTTTGAATGACTTTCTGAATAACACTAAAAGGGCATTTTTAGTTCTTGTAATCTGTTGCTGGCTTATAGATTAACCATAACGGCTACTTAATTAAAGTTCAACTCATCCAGCTGAAAAATAGTTGAAGTAAAACAACCAATGTGGTTTAAGAAAAGGATAAACAGTTTAATGTGATTGAGAAGAGAGTTCGGTCCTCGTTAACATCTAAAACAGCTTTAACTTTGGGGTTTTGGATGCTACCTTCCAGATGTTGACTATAGCCGCGTTCTCAATATGTGTACTTGTGCGTTCTCTTGTGCTCATGTACTCGTGAAACGTCATCAGCCTCAGTCCTAGTACTGTTCCAGTTCAAAAGAACAAGAATTCCGAGAACGGACAAAGTCCCCAGATGTTTTTCCCACCCCTCCCTCTTTACCCAGAATGCATCAGAGCAGACTTGTCTGTTCTCGAGATTGACAGATGTCCCAGCATGCACTGCGGCAGCAGCAGCTTCCAGGGGAGCGCTCACAGAGTTTAGAGCATTAAGTTAAAAGTTCTCTTTTCTGTTGTAGTTCTATAAGGGTACGTTCTTAGATCCTTTGAGGAGAGAACATTATACTTTTAAGCATCACTATATGGCCCATTTACTGATTTAGTGTGTAAATTTAATAAAAGTTCTCATGTTGAGAGGACCGCAGCAACCAGCGGAGCTCCGATGCTAACCGTAGCCAGGGCTAACCATAGTCCATCTGCAGCAGCCCTCTCTCTGCACAGCTGTGTGTGAAGGACCGCTGGCTCTGATGGCAGTTTTTTGGTTTTATTTGGCAAAATGTTGATTAAATTTGTGTTAATCATTATTCCCCCAATAAATGAAAAAAGTAAGAATTCTAGAGACTATTAATAACAGGAGGTGAAATGCAGCTCCAGATGAGCAGAGTGTGTGGTGACGTCATGAGTGTTCTCATTCTCCCCCGAGTAAACACTTTCCTGTGTTCTCATCAAGAACATACTTGGCGAGGACACGAGTCCGTAGTCGCGTTCTTGTGAATTGAGAAACAGGCTATGTTTACGCTGCACAAGGCCAGAAGGGGGCAGAAACGTTTCCATGGAGCTAAACTAGGGCTATAAAGTTTGTTTAATAAGAAACTTAAAAAGAAAAAAAAAATGATGTGGGAAATAGTACTAAAAAGTGTTTGAAACTAATATCTGTCAAAATTTTATAAAAGAAAAACAGGATCTAAAACTAAAAGAAAAGTTTTTAAAACGGCTAATCAGATTGGAATTTTTTTCAGTTTCTGATTTTATTTTCCTTCCGGTGTCAAACTGCTGCTGGACTTCGACGATCCTCGGTGTGGAATGAGGACGGACATAATAGGCGCCTGAACAATATATTCATCAGTTAAACTGAAAACCAACAATTGGTTTCAGACAAATTTTTTCAATTAATTTTTGGATACATTTTTTTCAGTTTGAAAAATCTTTTTCATCTTTAAATGTTCTATTTTCAGTTTTTAAAATACTTTCAAGTCCTCAAAGTCAAATCAGGAGGAGGAAACCACGCTTTGATGTCTTTATCAAGGATGTTAAACTGTAAAAGTTCAGACTCTAATGTGAACAATCTAACTTTATAAGCTCTCATTATTGTTTTTCATACCTTTGTCTGTTCACTGTTCTTCCTTTTCGGTTACTTTTGTGTGTGAAAATTTCTGCATCAGGTCGCTCTGCTCACCATGCTTGTGTTAGTGTAGGTGCGAGCGTGCCCTTTTAAATCACCCAGGCCACGCCCAGCCCTCAACCTCCACCTGCACGTTCCTCTGTCCTCCAAGCACGCTTTCAAGTGGGAGCATTTTTAAATATATGTGTGGGGGAAGTACAGCTCTTTTTAGTTTATTTTTCTTACTTAAAGGCTGCCAGATGAGGTTTATGAAGTAAAATCACAGCACTCTAAATGCTGGTGCCATCTCCAGCAGTCTACACCCTGGACAGCAGGGCAACACAGAGACATACAGACATACAATCATGCACACTCACACCTACGGACAATTTAGAGATACCAATTAACCTAATAGTCGTGTTTTTGGACTGTGGGAGGAAGCCAGAGTACCTGGAGAGAACCCATGCATGCTCAGGGAGAACATGCAGATTCCATGCAGAAAGACCGCGGGCCGGGAATCAAACCCAGAACCTTCTTGCTGTAAGGAAACGGTGCTACACACTAGTCATTTGATGTCTCAAACAGTTCACAGGTTGTTCAGAGAAAACCAACCAACCTTAGAAACAAGAGAGCTGTGGATTTTCTTCATGATGTCATCCATCTCCAGCAGTTTGGGTTGGACCAGTGAACTGTGGGGTCCGCTGATGTGGCCGATGTGGTCCAGGCCCAGGTAATGGAGGATCAGAATGTCCCAGTCGTCTCTCTTCAGGGTGCTGTCCAGGTGACGGGTTATGTTGTTGTCAACCTATATATATAATGCAGCTGGGACACTCTTACTTTCAGAGACAGTATTCAGTGTTTGTTTCAGGGTTTGGATTTAGCATCAGCTATAATCCAGCTAAATAAAAACTAATCAGCCTCATTTGTGGTGAAAGTGCTCAGCAACAACAAACCTGCAGTAAACCAGGAACAACTTGTTCAGTCCCACTGGTATTGATGCTGAGCATTAAACTTACCTCAGCTGTGTGTCTCCGTTCGATTATCCACATTTACAGCTTTAATACAGACATGTTTACTTCAAAATCACCGTAATGTTTAAGTTAATATAGGCAAACAAATTTGTAAATTGACATGGAGTGGGACATAGGTTTGCAAATATTTCACAGACAACACTGAAAGTCAAGCATACAGAAGAGGATTAGGGCCACAGAAGTTAACTGATTTTTAAATTTTATTTCAGTTTAGTATGGGAAAAAAGTCAAAATTCTGACTGTGGCTCTAATCCTCTTCCGCACAAGCATGCATTTGTATTCAAACACTTTTAATCTACTAAGTTACTACATGAAATATACTGAAATCACACACTTGTTTAACAGCTATTTCCTCAGGAATTTTACAGGGTTTATACAGGAATAATTAACTCTAATCTAAATTGCATTTTCACATTCCCTAGCTTTTTTCTCCGCCTTGAGCTTCTTTTTCGAACATAAAGAAACATACGCAACATACGACCGGAAACAGTTCCGCACAAACACGTAAAACCAGTTATATCTGATATATTTGACAAAATTGTTTTTAGAAACTGTTTTTTCTTTTAAATAAAGCATTTTAAATGCCACAATAATCACATTTAATGAATTTCCATGCTAATTAAGGCCTTATTTAAAAAATAATAATAATTTAATGACTTAATAAATTAATGATTTTTAATGACCTGCAGAAACTCTGTTTTAAAGAAGAAATGGAGATATAGGTCTACAATTGACCAAGTGGATCCAAAGGTTTCTTAAGTAAAGGCTGAATTACATCAACCTAACAAAAAATGCTCCATCTATAGACCCCTTAAGGAAAAATGGGTCTATAGATGCAGCTGGATTAGAGTAAGTAAACCTGCTGGTTCCAGCAGGACAGCCATGTAAACATGCAGCCAGTCAAACTGTTTATAAGATGAAAGCTGTTGTTAATAGTGACTCATTCCAAGCCATGCGTCTGAACATTAATCTTTTGGCTATCATGGCAGAACAGGTTTATTTCGTCATCAGTTTTTTTATTTTTTAATCCTGCATCACATAAAGCACCTGAGGACTTCAATCCTTCACCAGCATTCACAGAAAAAAAAAATCCATCACTCTTTGCTTGGACTGATCCCGGCCAAACGCCGGTGGATTGAACTCATGCTGACCTCAGTGTAGTCGGACACAAAGAAGGAGGTGGTGCCGTCGTGCTCCATGAAGTGCTTCGGGAAGAGGCGGACCCATGTGTCGTCTCCATAGAAGACTATCCTCTTCCCTGCTGTTTTGGCCTGCCAGATGAGGTTGTCCTCCAGGAGTGCAGGAGAATTCAGGTTCATTACCACGTCGATGAAGCCTGGGATGCTGCCAGTGGTGAGAGCCTGCAAAGGGACACGACTCAGTTCCTCCCACTTTTAATCATAATTGCCTTTTAATGGAATTATGTAACCTTAGAGTTTCATCAGGTTTAACACAGCCTATTTAGCAGCATTATTTTTAGCTTTAAACTTTCCCATGTACTGTTGGGTAACAGTGGCGTCAGATGCAGGAGTTTGCCCTGCAACCAAAGGGTTGTCGGTTCAGTGTCATTGAATTGCCAAATGATGGTGGTCAGAGGGCCCGGTGGCACCTGGCTTCTGTCAGTGAGCCCCAGGGCAGCTGTGGCTACAATGTAGCTTGCCACCATCAGTGTGTGTGTGAATGACTGAATGTGGTGTAAAGCACTTTGGTCCAGTCTCTTGACTTTAAAAAGCGTTATAATAGTACAGGCCATTTATTATTATGGTAACTTTGCTGATCTGACATTATAAACCAAAGTAATTAAATGATGCAATATAAAGTCAGAATTCTACCAAAAGTGTGCATTTCATAAAAGCTGTTTTTTTTTTTTCATATAGAAATGCACATAAACCACTCTCACATGCTTTTGGAATATTTTATCAGAAGGGATTCAATATCATTCATTCTCCTTCTCTGCTCTCCTGCTTTTTATATGCCTGTAGACTCGCTAATGCTCGCCTAGAGACCTGTTTCTTCCTTCTCATGTTATCTTTTGTTACTTTAAGGAGGAAACAACCTGAGAACTTCCTCTTTTTTACAGAGGTCTAACGCTAGTAACATTAGCAAAGCCTCTTTAGGCTTGTCTCTACCTGATCCGTCCTGGAAGCACGGTCAGTCCTACACATGCAACAACAGATATACATCCCGGTGTCAATAAATAACGTAATTATGGTACTAAAATTACTTATTTCTATCCTTAACTCAATAAAGAATGCTAATAGACATTGAAAAAATGAAAAAAATGATTTTATAACTTTTGTGAGACAATTTTGATGTTTTTTACATTTTCTTCATTACACATGCTAAGAGCAGTCCCGTAAAATATGATTAAACCATGTTTATCTGCATTTTAGTTGTCTCTTTCTTTAGATTTCACTATATACCATAATGTTTACATGAAAGGAAAACATAAAACTCAAAAAGACTAGATTGGTGATTAAATCCAAAGCTGAAAAAGTTAGCACCCGGAAGTAGCGTAGGATCCCATTTTCTGTGCAGATCAGGCACAGATGAATGAGAAATTTCTCAGGAAATACATTATTAACCTTTGACATATTATATTTCAGTAAGCTTACTATTTTTGGGGAGGGAAAAACCTGTTAAAATTGTCTTCAATACAATAAAATCAAGGCCACCGGGATGTATATCTGGATGCGCAAATGAGCTGATGGTGCATGCGCAAGATGGATCGTGCTTCTGGGATGGATCGGGTAGTGACAAGGCTAATAGCTAATCTTTTCAAACATAAAAGCAAAGTCAATGAACAGTAACTGAAAACTGATTGTAAATGTTTCTGTTCAACTTAAACAAGAGCTCATTCAAGCCTCAGTTCCCTCTATATAAAGAGCACGGCTAATGTTAGCTTAGCACAAACAAAAGTTCCAAACAACATGGATTCTGATGAACATATACAGCACTTGACTTTATATCTATAAGTCTAATTTTGATAGCTGGGTAAAATATCGAAATATATATTGATATTGCAACATCGTGATAATATATCGCATCGTGACGAGCATGTCGCATCGGGATTAGCATGTTGCATCGTGACTAGCACCTCTTGCACCGATACCAGTATCGGGCGGGGCCCCGATCCAGCACTAAAATGGTGGTATCGTTATCGGCGAGTACCAACAAATAGGGCACTGATACCATTTTAAGAGCCAAAAGTTTATTCAACTATTGTCACCCATTCCAGGTAGGCAATAAAAAGTTCTACTGGATTCACTTTGTATTAGTCTTTTTCCTGCTTCACAAAGGTAGGCAGCAGCTTGACAAAACCATGATGGTAATTATTTTACATCCAAGTAGTATGCAGTTCTTCATATATAGACACACACATCAATTTCAAACAGATCGTATCGGTGTGGTATGGTATCGGCCAATACTGCACAGCCAGGTATCAGGTATCGGTATCTGGGCCTAAAAATGGCATTGGCGCAACACTAATCATGACCCAAGTATCGAGACACGTATCGTATCGCAACATTAATGGCAATACTCACCCCTACTCCATACTGTAAACTGTTGTTCCTTTGTTGTTTTGTTTTTCTATCGTCTTGCTCAGTTTTTATGTGCTTCAGTAATTTCTTTTTTCGCTTTCGTTAAACATTTAATAAATTCACAAATTCAAAAACAGTCCAATAATAAATGAAGAAAAATAAAATCCAAAACATAAAGAAACCTTCGTAAAACATAGCGTAGAATCAGTGGTGTCTTCCACCTGCAATCATACTTTAAATATGTTTTATAAAAATGTTGCTGTTTTCAGGCCCAACATTTTTTTTTAGAAGCAACTTTTGCCGCAATCGGGGCAGCGAACAGTTTAGGACACGCATCTTGCAGCCTTAAACATTTAGAGACACAATTTTTCATGTTGCATTTCTTATTCATATCAAGTTATTTTTTTACAATAACTGAAACAGATGAAGGCTGTCAGTGGACTGAAGAACAGCATCCCAGCAGCACGATGATGGGGAGGGTTTTTTCACTTTGATGAGAGGTAATCATTTTAAGTTGTTTTCTTTTAACAAAAGTCAAAGTGTTGCATGTTTCATCTGATCAGATCACAAGGTTTTGGTCCCCTTTCATGGCTTTTGCCAAGCTGCAAATAGGACTTCATGTGCTTTTCATCATTTATAGATTTCTGCTTCTAATTCCTTCACTCAGGGTTAATACAGGAATGAATAACTGAAATTTTATGCTTTTTAATGCTCTTTTAATGCTGTTAGAAATAATTTTTATGCCACCAACAGGTACCCGTCGACAGGCCATGTCCCAAATTCCTCCTTTTCCCAACCACTTTTGTTAAAATGTGTTCCACGCAAATATATCAAGATACACTATATTGCCAAAAGTATTTGCTCACCTGCCTTGACTCACATATGAGCTTAAGTGACATCCCGTTCCTAATCCATAGGGTTCAATATGACGTCGGTCCACCCTTTGCAGCTAGAACAGCTTCAACTCTTCTGGGAAGGCTGTCCACAAGGTTTAGGAGTGTGTTTATGGGAATTTTTGACCATTCTTCCAGAAGCGCATTTGTGAGGTCGCACACTGATGTTGGACGAGAAGGCCTGGCTCTCAGTCTCCGCTCTAATTCATCCCAAAGGTGTTCTATCGGGTTGAGGTCAGGACTCTGTGCAGGCCAGTCAAGTTCATCCACACCAGACTCTGTCATCCATGTCTTTATGGACCTTGCTTTGTGCACTGGTGCACAGTCATGTTGGAAGAGGAAGGGGCCAGCTCCAAACTGTTCCCACAAAGTTGGGAGCATGGAATTGTCCAAAATGTCTTGGTATGCTGAAGCATTCAGAGTTCCTTTCACTGGAACTAAGGGGCCAAGCCCAGCTCCTGAAAAACAACCCCACACCATAATCCCCCCTCCACCAAACTTTACACTTGGCACAATGCAGTCAGACAAGTACCGTTCTCCTGGCAACCGCCAAACCCAGACCCGTCCATCAGATTGCCAGATGGAGAAGCGCGATTCGTCACTCCAGAGAACGCGTCTCCACTGCTCTAGAGTCCAGTGGCGGCGTGCTTTACACCACCGCATCCGACGCTTTGCATTGCACTTGGTGATGTATGGCTTGGATGCAGCTGCTCGCCCATGGAAACCCATTCCATGAAGCTCTCTGCGCACTGTTCTTGAGCTACATGAAGTTTGGAGGTCTGTAGTGATTGACTCTGCAGAAAGTTGGCGACCTCTTCGCACTATGCGCGTCAGCATCCGCTGACCCCGCTCCGTCAGTTTACGTGGCCTACCACTTCGTGGCTGAGTTGCTGTCGTTCCCAAACACTTCCATTTTCTTATAATACAGCTGACAGTTGACTGTGGAATATTTAGGAGCGAGGAAATTTCACGACTGGATTTGTTGCACAGGTGGCATCCTATCACAGTTCCACGCTGGAATTCACTGAGCTCCTGAGAGCGACCCATTCTTTCACAAATGTTTGTAAAAACAGTCTGCATGCCTAGGTGCTAGAATTTATACACCTGTGGCCATGGAAGTGATTGGAACACCTGATTCCAATAATTTGGATGGGTGAGCAAATACTTTTGGCAATATAGTGTATATTATGTCTGACAAAATTGTTTTTATAATTTTTTTTTTCATAAAGCATTTTAAATGCCACAATAAACACATTTAATGAAATGTAATGCCAATTAAGGCCTTAATTTAAAAAATAATAATTTTATGACTTTTAATGATTTTTAATGACCTGCGGAAACCCTGACACTAAACGTCCAAACGTCCACACTAACCCCTAAATCCCTCAATCACCATATGTAGCAGGGACTATATAGTGGACTTTATAGTGAACTCAGTTCAATGGCTGTTCAGACAGGTGATCTGCTCATCTAGTGACCAAGGATGATCACTACTTTTCAAGTTGCATTGAGGGAAATTTTGAGTTCACTACTTTTTCATCCAGTAGACATTCAGACATTCATTTAAAATGGCATAACGACTATATAGTGCCCTATATAGTGATTAGGGCGGACGTTCAGACGCAGCCAAAGACCTTTAAAAGCTCACTTCCTGACTAAGTAGGTGACATTCAAAGTTTATTGGTTCCTCTGGAGTTAATTTAGAAGATAATTGCTGGTTGAATGGAAAGGAAAAGCTTAGTTTGCAGATTTTTCTTTATCCCCAAATGAGAAGTCCATGTATTATTTTCTTTCCTCCTTCAGAATTATGTAGGGATTAATGATGATATGCCATTAGTAAAACTAAGTTCGTTATGATGCCATACAATTTAAATGTTATCCATTTTCAGTTCAGTTTGGTGTGGGATGTAGATACTTTTCCACTCA